TTACTCTGGATATAGCACATTTCCATTGGTTTAGTGTGTCATTCTAAAGCAGTTTATTCCATTTATAGGCTTGTAATTCAACATTTGTATCACATTAGTCTGAAGTGAGCAATAGGCCAATATATAACTAACAGACTAGTCATCACCAGCCAGACATCCAAAGAGGAGGTGCTGGATAAGAGAAATACAATACAAGAAAAACAGTAAAACACCAAATATCGCATGTTTTACACAGTAAAGCTCAGAGCTGAAGTTATTCAGATGTCATGCAGCTCGTCTGACCAAACAGGATGTTGAGACAAGTCCAGTGTGGGGGCACAGAGTCAGCCCTGTGAGGGTGGTTTGTTTGTTTGATTCGGTCAATGCGTCAGTTTCCTGTGTTTCCTGAGTCAGAATGAATCCTGCAGCAGCAGCTGCTTTTTGTAAAATGCCAACTTCACATCAGAAATAAACATGTTTACAGCTTGGATCTAAAAATCATTTTAGGTTTACATTCATGACAACTCTTAGAGGGTTTAATTTTTTTCTAAATCATCTGTTTAGATGTAATTAAAGCTTGAACTTATTAATTGTTAGGGGCATGTCCTTTTGAGTGACAGGTGTTCGCTGAGTTGTTGGAGTTAGCGCTAGCAGCTTTCCTCCCTGCATGCTACAGGGATGGTCTCAGCCTCACATTAAGAGTTACAGCCTAGGAGGCCGAGGGTAGCAGAGTCACTCAACCGTGTTTTGTTATTGGCTAAAAGCGCCCGCCAACCTTTGTTAGCTTCGGTTAGCTCAGTTAGCTCGTAGCTACATTGGCTCAGAGTTTGATGGGGTCAATCATCTGCCCCCAACCTCAGGTTCATTTTTGTATTTTCCAAGAGTGACGCGACGTGTGACACGGCCAACATGGCAGTGGTGGGAACCGCCCACTGGGCTTCAGTTCAGCTCTTCAGAAACCTACGGGTGATATCACGGAGGCTCAGTCCATCTTATATTTGCGATCTATGGTAACAATGCAGGAAATTATTTAAAATTAAATGTCCAGAATTCTTTGAAGGAATGCATCTCAATCACAACCTTCCATGCCAGAGATTAAAACTGATTTCATAAGGTAGGGAAATGATTCATAATTATTAACATGATTATTGATTAATATTGGAAGATTGGTTAGCGCTCCAAATATGAGATGGAGAAGCTTCTCAGTTGGTACCACACACTGTTGAGCGCAGTAAAAAGGACTGAATATAAACAATGTTCACGTTCGGTGCTGCTGACAAAGACAAATGCCTTTCCCCTTATTTGTAGACATTGCATATGTACGTATAGAAGACTGGCTACATTTTCAATTGTTATAATCTAGTAGTTCAATGCCAATTCTTGCAAATCATCTGTATTTGTGATTACAGATGATTTGCAATTATATTTCAGGTGCAATGGGTTGCTTATCATTTCTTAAACAATCATGTGGAAAGACGCACCTGGTGGTCGTGTAAAGGATGTTAGTCTGTTTGAGAAGAGTCAGATCTTTGGCGTGCATCAAGCAGAGAACTACTAGAGCTGGGTTAAGAACTGTCCAACGCAGTAGTAAAAACTGGTCTGATGAGTCCAGATGGACCCTGTTCCAGAGTGATGGGTGCATCAAGGTAAGAAGAGAGGCAGATGAAGTGATGCACCCATCATGCCTAGTGCCTACTGTACAAGCATGTGGGGGCAGTGCTATGATCTGGGGTTGCTGCAGTTGGTCAAGTCTAGGTTCAGCAACAGGATGTGCTTCAAGAATGAGGTCAGCTGACTACCTGAATATCCTGAATGACCAGGTTACTCCATCTTCCCTGATGGCACGGGCATATTCCAAGATGACAATGCCAGGATTCATCAGGCTCAAACAGTGAAAGAGTGGTTCAGGGAGCATGAGACATCATTTTCACACATGGATTGGCCACCACAGAGTCCAGACCTTAACCCCATTGAGAATCTTTGCTGGAGAAGGCTTTGTGCAGCGGTAAGACTCTACCATCATCAATTCAAGATCTTGGTGAAACTTTATGCAACACTGGAAGGAAATAAATCTTGTGACACTGCAGAAACTTATCGAAACAACGCCACAGCGAATGAATGCTGTAATCAAAGCTAAAGGCAGACCAACAACATAAAAGAGTGTGTGACCTTTTATTTTTTTGGTGGTGACTTTTTTTGTATTTCCACAAAGGGAACTTGCATTTTACTTTTTTGATTTCAGAGGTTTAATATTTGATCAAACTTTAGTCTAACGGGGGGAAAAAAATCTAAGTTTGTGTTTGACTAAAAGATCACAACACAAGAGCTGTAAAAACAAACGGTGATTAGTTACAGCTGATGTTCTTTCATTTAGGTAACACAAAAGCAGCAGTCAGTCTGATCCTGCATGCTGTTGGTTCAGTCTGAGACTTTAATGAGAAACCTTAAAGGAAAAGGTCAAGGCAATTTTGCATCCTGGGAAGAAAAACCAAACGCAACATAGCATGGAACACGAAAGTCACTCAATCTGATAAAACAACAGAACTGAATGGTTGGATGTGGAGAGCAGTACAGGTGAAACTGGATAAATGAGAATATGGTGCAAAAGTTCATTTATTTCAGTAATTCAACTTAATTTATTTTATTTGTATAGCACATTTCAAACACAAAGGCAATTGAAGTTCCAGCCAGACGCCTTAAAAGGTGAAAGTAATTTATGAGACATTATATTCAAAGCCAGATATTTCAAGCCTTTCTTTGGTATAACTGTGATGATTATGGCTCACAGCTGATGAAAACCCAACATTCAAAATCTCAGACTATTAGAATATTGTGTAAAGGTTCAATATTCTAGACTCAAAGTGTCACACTCTAATCAGCTAACAAATCTAGAACACCTGCAAAGGGTTCCTGCGTCTTTAATGACATTCTATGCAACTTTTCCTGCAGGAAAAGCCAGTATGTGTATGTACAGTATGAGCCAGTATGTGCTAAAGTGACTCTTTACAGGGTGAAGGAAAAGTCTCTCAGCCCCTTCTTTCTTGTGAGCAGGGTACCCTGTTTCCACTTCAGCCTCTCCAGATCGCTGCCCTGAAGTTTCACATAATAACGGCGATCCCTGTTTGCACCTCAGAACAGACCTCTTACCCAGTACCTGGTTAGCATTACTGATAACATGTTTATCATGGTGGAGCCTCAGAAGAAACAAAGAAATAATTAATCTGATAAAAAAAAAGTCCAACCACAATAGAAGCCAAACAAGAGTCAAGATTGTGAGATTTCTGAATCGTGAGAGCTCAGAGACATAACTCCTGCATGTTTCAGATCATGAACACAACTGATTTATTTGATTTAGTGAAGAACCACTGTTGTAGAAACTAATCTAACTAACAGTTAGATTAAGGTGTTAAAAAGACGTACGCACAGCGAGGAGGAGAGTTTCAGTTTTATTTTTTACGACAGTGAATTAAAACGGACAGTAGGGGGTGCTAAAAGCAAGCTAGAACTGCAAAGTTTCCCTTTACATGGTCTCTCAGTCTAAGCTGAATTAATGAAATAAATAGACTTTTGCACCATATTCCTCTTTTTTGAGTTTCACCTGCAGATGCATTGCATTAAATATCTTTAGGAAAGACACCAATAACACTTTTTAAAATCGATGTAAAAATAACTTCTCTCGTAAAAAATAAACAACTAAAAATCAGCTTTTCTTGCAAATTTTATAAATGCACAATTGGCAAATGAAAATAGCGTTCTGATTTAATTTTATTGTTGATGACAAATAGCAGCTAAACCCATAGAGTACTTGCTACTCAAACTTGTTGCTGCTGTTTAAAGACTTGGACCAAAAAGGAAATTAATTTGAAACCACCCGATTCCATCATAGGAGAAATCTGCTTTCACTGCGTGTCATCGAGGGGAGTGATGAACGGCAGAGAGACTCACAGAAAATGCCAACTCAAGTAGGTCAGCGTAACTCAGGGAGATAATCGAGGCCGTTTTGACCCCTTATGTGTCAGCTGTAAGTGGGTCAAATGCAGCAGTCAGCTGTTGCAAGCTGCCCGTCATCCTGCCGGACGCGGTGCCCAACGCAGGGATCAACCCTTCCTCTGCCCCTCCAGGGGTGAAATAATATGGAGTTCCCCTCAGTAGCAACAGATTCACCTTCACTCTTGTCACTGACTACACCCCCTTATACTCTTCATCAGTTGTCTACTCCTTTTGACAGCTCCCAGCTCCGCAGCCTTGTTTTGTATTCACGGTGGCAAAGCCTCCTCCTTCCATGTCTAAAATGCCACCCGCGATTCAACCACACCACCTCGTTTCCCACTCTTCACTAAACAGAACAAAAGGAGCTCATGTGCCTCGAAACACTTCTGAGCTCAAATCTGCAACAGCAGAACAAAAGGCGATCCAGGGTAGCCTTAATCTGTGCAGTACTGAAACCAGCAGCTATTTTAAAGCTCATTCTCCCTTCCTCTCTTCCTTATAACATTCCTCCTCTCCCCTCCTCCTCCTCCCTCTTCCTCCTCGCTTCCCTGCCTGTCTCAGGGCAGAGTGCTTCTCTCCGTTTTCTCATCTCTCTCCCCGCATGTCCAGTGACTGACTGACTGCACAATACACATCAATTATTCATGGCTGCTCTCTCCGTTTTGCAGGCAAAACCAATCACAGATGGAGCCACCGCTAATGTGCCCCTGCTGTACTTGCCACCGGCTTCTTTGCACTCAAGCAACAAATACCCTAGAGACAACAAGGGGAAAAGAAACTAGGATAAGCTGTTGGGGAAGGCGAAAGGAAACTTCATACAGCTCTAACGGCAAAGACGAGATGAGGTTTGTGGTCAGAGAATGGAGGCGGGAAGCATCACAAACAATTCGCCAAGAATCAGGTGCAGGAAAGGGTTAAAGACACAGAGATGTGTGTGGGGGGTGGGGGGGGGGGGGGGGTGGGGGGACAGGAGGAGAGGAGAGGGGGGAGGACAGGCAGAGAGGCAGAGAACCAAATGCTTATCTCCTCACCTCGGATGTATGCAGCTGTTATTGATGTATCTTCTTTTTCTGTCTAGTGATCCATTGCTTGCTCTCCCAATACACACATCACACAGAAGGAGCCACAGCCACTTTGCCAGAAGGGAGAGCATGGAGGGGAGGGGAGGGGAGGGAAGAAAAAAATGCAGGCAGCTCACATTTCAAACTTGCAAAGGGGGGTGGTGCCTAATGTGCTAGACAGCCTGTGTCTTGGCCCGAGTCCAGAGCAACGAGTAAAAGAAGCCTCAATCAATTCATTTAAAGCAGCCGCCGCTGCGATGGGAGAGTCGACAATGTGGCAACTGAAACACGCTCAGGTGAAGTGGCAGTTTTAGCCCCCCTAACCTCAGCTTTGCAGGGATGCAGTAGACTTAATCCATCAAACTAGTCATTGTAATTAAGGGGCATGGAAGAGGAGGAAGATGAGGAGGAGGAGGAGGAGGAGGAGGAGCAGGAGGAGGCTACATGTTTGTATCAAAGAAGGAGGAGCCAATTAAAACAAATTTGTCAATGGGCTTTTGGATGAATAATTACAGGACTATAAAACATGTAATCTGCAGGTAGACACACCACCTGAGGCAACCCTCCAGCTTCTATTGATGCGCAAATAAAAAACACCTGCAGACATCGACGGTGAGCCAATTCAGGTGTCATATTATTGCAACTGATCTGAGGTTAAAATGTAAAAATAAGCATATGATTAGAGACAAGATGTAAATCAAGTTTAATATGCAAACAGCAGGTGTTGTTGCAAGGAGCCATATGGGGGAGCTGAAGATGGAACCAATCCCCGCCTGCTGCTGCAGACGTAACACTGCAACAAGAGGAAGCGGCTCACCAGCTCTTATCTCTCCTGTCGGTATTTACTCTCCTAGTATTTCCTATCAGCTACGTGTGCGGCGGCTGACTTACAGCCCTGCAATGCAAGTTAACCCATCGATCATATTTGGCAGGAAGACTTCAGGGATCATACAGTCTTCAGAGGAATTAGGCACTCATACTTCCAGGTACAAGCCCTTTTACCCCGTAAATCCAGACAAGCAAAACACATCTGTGTAAAATCCCTCCAGCTTTAAAGTCATTTTCTTTTCAAATATATCAATTTATGATAAATTCTGTCAGATTCCAGATGATCAAAGTGTGCAGCTGTAAATGTAAAATCTTTTATTTGAATAAAACAAATTGAGATTAAATAAAAGAAAAAAAAAAGAAAATGTTTTTATGAAAAAGCTAAAATGCAAACTTCAGTTCAGGAGAAATTTGCATGCAAACAAACACAGTCAGCATGAACTCATATTGAAAAATGTACTGAAACCTAATTAAATTATCTTTAAACAACACACCAGACATTCCAGACAAGTGTTTCTGTAGAATATATAAATAATTTCTATCCTACAATTAACAGATAACATCCTCAATGCCTTGTTTGGAGAAATAATGCATATGTGCTACAGAGCTGATAAGCTAACGGCTAGTTTGAGCATATCCAAAATAGCTCCAATTTTCTAAATATCACAGTGGTTCAGGTGACGGTATCTTATAAACCTTTGCGCTTCTGCCAGTTTTGCATTGCACAGTTATCACTCACTAACACACACATACACACACACACTCACCCTGTCACCAGTCCATCCCAGAGACATGCAACCAATCATTCACTCATACCTAGCGACAATTTAAAGTCCCCCGATTAACCTGATGCATGTTTCTTCTCTGTGAGAGGAAACCAGAGTAGCTGGAGAAAACCCACACATTCATGAGGAGAACATGCTAATGCCACCAACTGCACCGCTATGCAGCTCCCTCATTAGCCCGATAAGATGTAAACTCTATTTCTTCAAACAGTAACCAATCAGGAAGCTATCTCTGCATGGGTAACATTATGAATTATAAACAAAAACATACTTCAGATTGACCAAAATGTCTTTTAACGTTCAGTTTTCAAGAACCACATAACTTCTCTGACAAAAGTTCAATTTCCTCAGCCCAAAAACACACGCTGGTGAAAAAAAAGACAAATGGCCTACCTTAGCAGAGCATTGCTATTTTATTGCAACTTTTCCTATCACCTAGCAAATTCTGTGAACACGCCTGCAGCATCTCTGCTTAACTATGATTATTTATTTTTGCTTTGAATCCAAACCAGAAAGTCTGCCAGACAAATTTCTGGATGTTGTGTGAACGAACTGATCTGATTTATCTATATCTGTAGAAAGTAGGAAACAGGTGGCCACTCTGCCTCGTCTTTGTCAAGCAAACAAACACCCACTCTTTTTATGGCTCCTGCTCGCTAAAGCATTAACAGATCAGAGAAAAAAACGGCCTCTTGATGTCCCACCTTAAACACGCCCACATTCACACCAACAAAACAACACAGAGGCACAAAAACACAGAGGTATTTTTTAATCACGCTGACACTGTTAACTACACCCCACAATGTGTAGCGACTGGACTTGAAAGCATCTCTGAAGGTGCAAAACAAGTGTAGAAACTAGCCGAGGCTTAGCGGAGTGAGAACTAATCATCTGCTGAATGGCTGGTTTGCCAGCCGTTTGTTACATGTGAGGATGAATGGCTGGAGGAGCTGAGAAACTTCAGCCTGCTCCTCCCTCCTTGAAGGCTGGAGCCTCTTTTCACTCCTTTGAGTGGAGGAATTCCAAAAGCTCGGCGAGGCGGGAACGATTGGGAATGTGCTGCTCTGACGCATGTGCAGGAGAAAATGTGACCTTTACTTTGGGAAGCAGTCTGAATGAGTGTGGTTGTTTAAGACTGGTGTGACATGGATGGAACAGGCTTGTGATGGACAGGATGAGTTTCGCCACACTGAGTGAGTCTGTGCTGAGGTCTCCACAGCTCCACGTGCACAGCTTTACCCCGCGCTCGGACAGTCAGAGTAATCACAGATTAATAGAGCAGGCTAATCCCTTTCACAAAGAGGTCAGACAGACACCCCTCCCCCAAAATTTGCCCCAACAACCGAGGGCCACTTTCAAAAAGCTAAAGGGACTGACTGACCAACCCCCCACCCCCCCACCCCTGTATATCCAATAGAAGTAATTCAATCCACTGAATCACTCTGTGTTTGAGTTTTTAAATCCCAGACTAACGAGAAGGGATTTAATTTACAACTAACATTATCTTCCGTCGAACTCCGGCTGATAAAATCAAAAGGTGGCAATAGCGAAGTTTTAATGTAGTTTTAAGTTTTGCCCTTTGAAGCTTGTTCTTACAACAAAAGCAAAAAAAAAAACCTAATCCCTTAAATTGTTGGAGGCATTCCATGGTTAATCAATTTGTCAAAGCTACAAGCCATTTCAGCTCTAAGCTGCCTGTGAACATTGATTTCCTACTTCTCTGCCTTGCCCTCAGCTCAATTTTCTACAATGTTCAGGAGAGGCGTTGGGATGACATAACAGAAACGTAGCGGCCCGACCACACCGCGTGTCAGAGCCAAGACGGCGTGCCAAGTCGGATTTACTTACTAGCTCCATCCACTGACCTAAAATCTTCTGTGTGCAACCATTCTGCAAAACGTAAGACGAGACTGAGCGGGTGTGAGACGAGGATGTGCTTTTAAACTCGTGGCCTAAACAAGCCCATCTGCTAAAGAAGAAATCACGGGCTTTAAAGAAGTCTCTCCTGCACACACTGACTCATCAGTCTTCGGCGTCGGCTGGCCGACCTGCTGCCGCCATCCCGGCCCTGTCATGTGACTCACTCCCTTCCTGCGTCGCTCGGCAACCACCCCGTGGGATGTCAGGGGAGAAGGTCTTGCCCCTGGGGCCCTGTGGGAGTGTCCTTTTAAGAGCCATCTCTCCCATTTTCAAGACTGTGTGTGTGAGAGAGAGCTGTCCCTTCATTTTATAGACCACCTTGACTTGTTAAAACTTTGCAGCATTTTCTGCTGCCCCCTCCAAACATGCAGGAACAATAGTCCATGAAATGCACTTTGAGACGCTGCCTAAACAGGAGTACTTTCCAAATGACTACTGTTGCAGGAAATTACTCAGACAGATTCAATTGGCAATCTTATCTAAGCCCATAAAGTAGGCTCTGAGATTTGATTAGGCATTAAGCAGAATTAGAACATTTGGCTTCCTCTGTTAATTGTAGAAAGAGAACAATTTGTAACCCGTAGCTGAAAAAAGGAATGAAGTGATTTAGAGCTATAAAAATAGAAAATTCAAACAATATGTTTCTCAGACTCTCATGACCAGGCACTCAAAAGCAAAGGGAAAGCCGAGGTTTTCTCCTAACCTGAGACAGGTGGAAACCACAAATCACCTACTGTAAAGAATCACAAAATATTCCTGTTATCTTCTGAGCCGCTGACAGCACACACATCTTCATTACCACCCATCTTCAATGTGCTTTCCCCTCACGTTAACAACTTTGAAAGCAAATAAAATCCACATCTTTACAAATAATCCATCACCGCATCCAGATAATGACGCACCACACAGACAGGAAGTCATCGCTGCTGTTGACAAGGTGTAGCAAATAGAACATCTTGCTAAGCAGACTTTGTCTAAAACCAAATGAAACAAATCAACAAAATGCTTCAAAGCAGACTGAACCTTTTCCTTGTTGACTATCTAAAAATGTAAGTACTTTTTATTAGGTACCTGTAGTTTTAGCTGGGTTTTTGGGAGACATGCTACCAAGAATGTAGATAAAAACTCAGAGCCCGGCCAGGTCAGCGTGTCCAGATGGCCTGAGAAAACTCTGGTCTTACCTGCTGATTTTGGAGTGAACTTGTCCCTATTGGCAGCGCAGACCGCCAGGAGTCGGTAACCCAGGTCCAAGTCAAAGCCCTGCTGAGCTGCTACGCGACTGACCACCTGAACACACGGACAGAAGACATTTTTTTTCCTCGTCTATAAAAAAATAAAAATCTACAACTTTTTACAGTGTAGAAGTGTTTTTTATGTGTGCACTTTAAAACTTTTCACCAATATTTGGTTCACCATCCCATTAAAATATGCGTACATGTGATTGATTAATTATTGATATTAATTTATCAAATGGAAATTAATTTCAAATGTTTGTTTTATAAGAATCAAGTAAGAATGACACCCTGTGGTAAAATCTGGTTACTGCAGCACAATTTCAAAACACAGAAGTGAGTTTCATGGCTGTTGCCAGTTACAGAAGATTCTAGATGAAGAGAAGGCGATTCAAACACAGTTAGTTCTGTTCTGATGAGTAGATAAATACATTTTACCATAATATTGAGTTGTTGGTAATTGAAAAAGTAGCTTGAGATATTTTAGAGCCAACTATTTGTTTCTATTTTACCGTTGGCATTGTTAGCTCAATGTTAGCCTCTAGCCTTCTTCACTCAATGTTAGCGTAAAACAAAAATATGCTGTGGCTTCTTAGGGGTACAAGAAATAACTTCCGGGTCACTTCTTTAACTGGCTTAGGATCTTTAAAAAAAATGTTGCTACAATTTGCCGGCTGGGTCGAATAAAAAATGCCGGAGCTGTAGTGTTAGCTGGCACAGACAACTACGTCACTCTTTAACCATTTTGAAAGGAGAAAAACTGACAACCTCCAGCCGACTGAGAATTCAATCTGTGTATCAGTATAACCTTCCTTCCAACTTGATTGAGACATTAGACTGTTTTGTAATCATTCCACCATAAAATTCTTACATATTGTACCTTTAAAGAGCATAAATATAACACATTGTGGAAAAATATCCCAGAAACACATCAGTCATTAAGCTCCAGTATACACCAAACTCCTTAGAAACAATTTCCTGTATTATAAAACAACACAATAATTTATGATGCATTTAAAAAAAATCTTCATGTTCTTGGACCAACTACTGTCTGCCAGTCCGACTGACCTGAGGACTCTGCACAGCAGTGACCTTTTGCAGCATCAAAGATCCACTTAAGCATAAATGATAGACACAAGCTTATACGTTCCAGATGAGTCGGCTGACGGTGAAATGAGGAGAAAACGTGGCCTACAGAGCGGAGATGACCCACTGAGAGGAAACATTAAGAGGAGCATCAACATGCCAGAGGAGGAGGTGTAAATCACCCCTCTTTGATTTACCTCCACCGCTTTCAGCTCAAAAACAGCCGAATCATCTCGGCCCTTTAGGGTATACTCTGGTCTGTGTGGACAAATGCGCCCCCCCCCCCCCCCCCACACACACACACACACACACACTTGTCTACACTAAATTCTTCTCCACCCTGCCTTTTCAGAAACTCAACCCTGCTATCACACTTCGAGTCCTGAGGTACTACAGCTGCTGCCTAGAACATGTCATTATCGTCTGTAAGTATAGTCCTGACGTGACACCAGAACAGAGACCATATATCTGAGCTTTATTTATAGGAATCCCCCATTAAAACAGAGAAATATGAGCGTAGCCTGTCTAATTGGAACCTAAACCGGTGACGGATGTTTTGCAAAAGTGTAATTTTTTTATAAGAAGTTATTTAAAAAAGAGTGTTTCTAACTTTAGAATGGTAATTGGACACAGTTCATCCGCCACGAGGCAAACGTGTGTTTATATCTTAATATGGTATATTACATCCGCCTAAACCTCGGAGTGGGAACGGAACGGGTTTAAAAACAAAGGTTGGCTTAAATCTATAAATTTACACTTTTTTTTCATCTAATTTTTACATTTAATTGACAATAGTTGAAGCAAATGATGGTTAAAGGTTCACCGTTCATATTTGTAGTTTAAACTACTTAATTATGGCTAATTTTATTAGTCCTTCTAAAGCAAAATAAAAAAAGTCTCATTACCTTCCCTGTTGTACTGAGTCCTGATGGGCATTAGATGAAAAATGTAGCATTTTTGTGACATCCTGCAGATCAAAAGTTACTTTTGAAATACTCCTCAGAATTTGATGTTTGTTCTGATACTTGATCTCCACAGTGATGGAGGATACACACCAGCAGTTAAGCGTTTTACTCTGAGCTTGGCAGTTTAGACATCTGAAAAGAGTTTGCAGTAGTTTTCATTCAGATGGCAGAAATCACTGGCTTGTGTTTGACATGAACTCAAAATCACAAATCTGAGGTATGTTTGGGCAACCTGATTTATAACAAAGGTTATTTACAGGAAATGCAAACATGAGTACTTCCTGCAAAAACAACAAATTACATCAATGTGTGTACAAGCTTCTGAATGTTATTATCTTTATTTAATAACTGTCCTTTACATTATTGAATGAGGAGTCTGTAGATAGTTAAGGCTGTCCAATAGATAAGATAAAAGAAACAACGAAAAACAAACAAACCGTCATTGTTTGCACATTTCCTCAGTTGGAATAAAAAGTATTAAAATGTAATTATAGGAAGATAGTAATTTTGTGAGTAATTTAGCAGCTAAATTAGATTATCATCCCTCCTTTTCTTGGAAGTTCTGGTCTGTGGAGCTCATGAACCAAAAGGAAGGAGCAGACATTTTTATAACACGAGACCAAATTAAATTGGCAAAACGAAGGATAAATCACCTGCTGATGCACACTGAAGCTACAGAAGCAGTCGCTGTATCACTTTGGTGTTTGAGCACAGATCTCTGGACTTTCAGCTGCAGTAGGGAATTCAAACTGCCCCTCAAGCCCCGGTGTCTTTTACATGTCACTTAAAGCAACGTGTTAAAGCTCAGGTGACAGGTGCAGGTGACACCCGCAGTCCGTCTTTTGTTGTCCTGATGGTCTGCTCTGTTCTCAGAGCAGTGACGAATTATTCAGGGACAACAAAAATGTTTTTGTCTGACAAATGACTGCTTTGAGGCTCCATGCCATTTTTTCCACTCATACCCCCCCACTGATACGGTTTGTGTTAGGAAAATAAATCTGACTTTTTCCTTCCTGAGCGGAGTTTTGTTGTTTTATCCCCATGTGACCTCAAGGATCAGGGTGCTAAACATTAGCTCTCTCCTATCCCAGGGGAGTTGTAGAAAAGCCATTGCAGCAGTTGTTTCCTCGTCCTTGAACCTA